AAATCCACGCGGCCACTTTCGGAGGACTGAGAGGGCCACTTAGATATAGGGGCGCGCGTACGTGAACATGATCAGACGGCCGCTTTCAATCAGAAGGAGAATTGCAGTGGGGCGCCGTCGGGGGCCAAGTCGAACACTTTCGCGGCGCGGGTGCCGGTGTAGAGGTGATATTACCTACCTGCCGAAGGAATTCGCCCATCGCGCAAAACTCGGCGCGTCGCTAATCAACGGTTGCTCGATCTTCCCGAGACCAGGGGGCATCCCAGAAGATTCAGCCATGACCTTGCCGGAGGGTCTGGCGGTTTGCCGTGCCTTGCCAGCAGCGGGGGCGCAACGCCTGATCCGCGCCAGGATTAAACTGTTTCTAACAAGCACTGGGGCCAGGGTCAACATGCGCGCTCACGCTCTGAACTGGCCCATCGGTGGCCGCGCAAACGAACAAAATAAACTCACCCGCGCCCCACAGTGCGACGCTGGACGTCAGCGAACTACCGAAGGAGCTGAGGGCGGGCAAGAGACTGCAGCGCAGAGCCACCAGCATGGGCGTGAGCAAGAGGAAAGGAGGCACCACATCTTGTAAATCACCGAACATTTTTACATGCCAGATCCACGTCGAAATTGGGGCATCGAGACTCCTGGAGACGCGTCGCAGGCGGCCTCTCAACCATGCGACGAAAGACGTTGTGCTTAGGCTTCAACGCACTGGACCAACAATTCCCGAACAGAGAACGCGCATTCAAGTAATAAATCCCATACTTGCCTTGCGGCTGGCCCCGGGCGCCTGAGGGGCGAACCGTCATGCTACTGAAGGGCAGCGGAAACCATGCCGCCTGACCTCTCCCGCGCAATCTTGTGGCGGAAGAACGCGTGGCAGTCGGGTTCGATGATCCACTGTTCGCGGTCCAAGACGCGAAGGTGAACACACTCCATATCGCATCATCTATAATCAAACAGAGGTTGTCGCGAAATCCGTTGCAGCCAAGCTGCCAGTTCTGAATGTCAGGCGCGAGGGCACGCCAGTGCTCTTCGCACGCCTGTCACAACTGCCCAAAAACACGATGCGTGGCGCAAGCTGTCGTCGGAGCGTCAAAGCGAGCACGGAGCGAGAGGGTGGAGTTCTGCCTGCGGTCGAACCAGTTTAGGCCGATTGCCCTCGTCTGCTCGACGAACCACTTGTCCGACGCCTCACTGTCGAACACGTTCGGGGAGACGTAAGACCCGGGTACGGGGGACTCGGAAATCCCCGACGAGGTTGTCAAAAAAATGACGAGGCCGAGCCTGCATTTTGACAAGGCCTCCCGCTGCAGACATCCCACGAAACTCCTCCTCGTCAAAATCCTAGTCGCGGTCGTCAAAAAACGATGGCGAACCCGAGTCCCGGCAAACCCGGGTCTTACGCTCCCCCGACACGTGCGCGAACCTCTTGGCCCGGTTGTCTCGAAACGTCTGAAGGCTCGTCGCGTGCGCCCCCGGGAGTGTGGAAGACAAAACCACGGGCGGCCGCCCCGAGTATTGAGTCGGGCCTGTCCCCCTCTCTACAGGGGGATTTTCGACGAAAAATAAAAGTACCCTAAAAATAATCAAAGAATTATCAAAAAATAATCTGGGGACCATGTTTTGAATATGTTTTGACATTTTTGGGGTATTTTTTTGATTTTTCGTTGAAAACCTAGCACGCGCTCGAGCATGGCCCGAGGAAAACCCCGACCCACACCTTCTCCCTACCACCATCCAGCGACTGGTCATCTGCACCTGCAGCCTGACCTGGACCAGCTGCCGCACGAGGAATACGAGGAGGTCTATGCTGTTGCAGCGTAGCGAGGTATTGTTCTTCTTCGTCGAACCCGCCCTTCAGCGACTCCGAGACCTGGCTCCCCACGACCTGCGCCAACTCTGCTGCTTACCAGGCCGCCGGCCGCTGGATACTCGAATCGACAGCGTCGAAACGCCCGGCTTGTGAACGTCTTGAAAGACGACGTCTTCATCTCGATCGTGCGATATAACTCCGCCATCCGACTCGGAGGCTGGTTCTCCTTGCCACGATCCGATCTCGAACGTGGTCTTCATACACTCACGGCGCTGGCTCCGATCAATTCGCCGCGGCTCAGGTGAAGGAGAGCGACTGCCGTCGCCATCGCGGCAACCACGCTGCCACTGGCCACCTTGACGCTCAGGACGGTATCCACGGGATCCCATGGCGGCGCCAACACCCGGAGGGACAGGAATGGTGCGAACGGCTTCTGCCGGCAAGATTCTTGAGCGTAGCATGCTCTGGCGCACGGCGGTGCGGATGAGGCCTGTCCTCAGGATGTGGGACGCTGCGCCTTCCCCTCGGCTGCTTCCAATGTCGAAGCGTAAGGGACACGTCTCGAACTTGAGCCAAAATGGCAACGGAGGAGGGGAGGAGACAAGCCAGGTGCGCTCGCGGCACACCTGACATCCTGTCCTTCCCTCCCATCCCCTACAAGTGCGCTGATGTTTCTGTATCCACGAACGCGTG